GTAGAAATTAACAACAGGAAGACCAAGGGGGGAAAAAAATCAATTACATGGAAAATGAATAACACCCTGCTTACACATCACTGGATAATAGAAGAAATCAGAGATGGAATAAAAAAATTCCTAGAATCAAACGAGAATGAAAACACATCATACCATAACTTTTGGGACACAGCAAAGGCAGTCCTCAGAGGACCATTTATAGCAATAGATACACTCATCAAAAAAAGAAGAAAGGGACAAAATCAAAACATTAACTACAGAACTCTAATAGAGAACAGGAAAAAAAGCCCACAGCCACTAGAAGAAAGGAAATAACAAAGATCAGAGCAGAAATAAATGAATAGAGAATAGAAAAACAATAGAAAGAATCAGCAAAACCAAAAGTTGTTTCTTTGAAAGGATCAACAAAATCGACAAACCACTGGCCAGACTGACAAAAGAAAAACAGGAGAGGATGCAAATAACCCAAATAAGAAATGAAATAGTGGACATTACAACAGACCCAACTGAAATAAAAAGGATTATAACAGAGTATTATGAAAAACTACACTTCAACAAATTTGATAACCTAGAGGAAATGGATAAATTTCTAGAAACACACTACCTACCCAAACTACCACACAGTGATGTTGAAAATCTGAACAGACCTATAACAAGAGAAGAGATTGAAAAGGTAATAAAAATAACTCCTAATAAAAAAAGCCCTGGCCCAGATGACTTCCCTGGAGAATTCTACCAAACATTCAGAGAAGAGCTTATACCAGTACTACTCAAACTATTTCAGAACAGAGAAAAGGAAGGGATACTTCTGTATTCATTTTATGAAGCCAGCATAACCCTGATATGAAATTGAGGCAAAGACGCCACCAAAAAGAAAACTACAGACCGATATCTCTAATGAATATAGATGCAAAAATTCTCAACAAGATTCTAGCCAATAGAATTCAGCATCATACCAAAAAACAATACACCATGACCAAGTAGGAATCATACCAGGTATGCAAGGATGGTTCAACATTAGAAAACCAATCAATGAAATCCACCACATAAATAAAAGGAAAGAAAAGAATCACACGATCATCTCAATTGATGCAGAAAAGGCATTCGACAAAGTCCAACACCCATTCCTGATAAAAACTCGCAATAAAATAGCTACAGAAGGGAAATTTCTCAACATAATAAAGAGCATCTGTGCAAAACCAATGGCCAACATCATTCTTAATGGAGAGAGGCTGAAAACATTC